GGAAGAGCTATACAACATTCAATCACCAGCGATGACAGAGAGTGTGTGTGCTATTCTTATAGTCCTACTAATGTGAGACAGCTGTGAACTGATGATGAGATCTGATGAGAGACAGGTGATGCACTTGATGAGTCCGGGCAAAGGATTATGGGAAATGGAGTCCTGAGTGAATGGCAAGGTACAGAATGGAGTGCCCTCTAGAGGAGCTCATGGGCACTCCAGCTGGAGATCATGACAGAGCCCACCCCTAAGGAGTGGCTTCCAGACCATCCTTAACATGAACAGACCAGAGTTCAGGAGGGGGGGGGAACGGAGGCGGCAGGTCCATGAGGAAGGAGAGGAACAGGGGACTGAGACAGAGCCGGCGGAGCGGACAGCCAAGGTGGAACTGGCGGAGCAGAGGGCCAAGACGGAGCAGTGAGCCAAGGCGGAGCCATCGGAGCAGAGAGCCAGGGCGAAGCCGGCGGAGCAGGGAGCCAGGGCGGAGCAGTACGCCAAGGCAGAACCAGTGGAACAGAGAGCCAGGGCAGAGCAGAGTGCCAGGGCATTGCAGTGAGCCAGGGCGTAGCAGCCAAGGTGGAACTGGCGGAGCAGAGGGCCAAGACGGAGCAGTGAGCCAAGGCGGAGCCATCGGAGCAGAGAGCCAGGGCGAAGCTGGCAGAGCAGGGAGCCAGGGCAGAGCAGTACGCCAAGGCAAGCAGGATACCACCAAGGCGGATCAGGCAGAACTGGAACATAGAGCACAGAGTGGTTAACAATGGCCTCAACGGCCGTAGCAAGACTGGCAGACAGTTCAAAAATTGCATCTTTAGCCATAACCGGGTGAGCAAAGAGTTCAGGGGCAGCCTTTTTGGTTGGAACAGGACAGACTAAGAGTTCAGAAATGGCCTTCTTAGCCGTAACAGGACAGGCAGAGAATTCACAGACGGCCTCCATAACCATGACAGGACAGACAGAAAGTTAACAGATGGCCTCCATAGCCGTGATAGGACAGACTGAGGGTTTAGAGTTCGGGAGAGGCCTCTTCGGCCGATTCAGAGCAGGATAAAAGTTCATAAGTGGCCTCCGTAGCCTTGACAGGACAGGCAGAGAGTTCACAGACGGCCTCCATAACAGTGACAGGACAGGCAGAGAGTTCACAAACGGCCTCCATAGCCGTGACAGGATGGGCAGAGAGTTCACAGATGGCCTCCATAGCCATGACAAGACAGGCAGAGAGTTCACAAACGGCCTCCATAGCCGTGACAGGATGGGCAGAGAGTTCACAGATGGCCTCCATAGCCATGACAAGACAGGCAGAGAGTTCACAAACGGCCTCCATAGCCGTGACAGGATGGGCAGAGAGTTCACAGATGGCCTCTTTGGCCGTAACAGAACAGGACGAGAGTTCACAAGTGGATACTACTGACAACTCTGGAGGTTCTGCAGCGGATGCCTGTGGAGGTTCTACAGCAATACCAGCAGGAAACAGTGAGAGTTCATTAACATTCTCCTTAACAGTACAGGTACAGAGTTCAGCAACGGTCCCTTTGACCGTGACAGGACAGACTGAAAGTGTACTGCTGGGCGCCACCACCATACCAGGAGCCAAAATGAGCGCCGCCGCCTCGGAGGGTTCTGCAGCCTTAGCCGCCACCTCTGGAGGACCAGGAGCGAGCACCACCATCTCTGGAAGTTCTGTGGTAGTGTATGCAGCCCAAACACACCAAAAAGCGATTCCCATCATGGGAAGCGCTTCAGACAGGGGAATCAGTTCAGAAACAGGAGGGCTAGAGTGAGTGGGTTTGGGGATACCAGCTGCGCGTGCAGACACCAGCGGTGCATCCCTCACACTGGATACCAGACAGGGATACCGAAGGGCTGACCTTGATAATCTGGGTGTATCAGACAGGACGTGATGTGACTCTGGATGATCAGCTGTGATGCGACGTGACGTGACTCTGGCCGAACAGCTGAGACATGACGTGACTCTGGACGAACTGCTGAGATATGACAAGACTCTAGATGAACAGCGGAGATGTGGAGAGACTCTAGAAGATCAGCTGTGATGTGACGTGACTCTGGACGAACAGCTGAGATGTGACAAGGCTCTGGATGAACAGCGGAGATGTGACGAGGCTCTGGCAGACTCATGAAGAGGCAGAGAGTTCACAAACGGCTCAGTAGAAGATGCTGTGACTTGACTTGACTTGACTCAGGACGATCAGCTGTGACTTGACTCATGACGATCAACTGTGACTTGATTTGACTCATGACGATCAACTGTGACTTGACTTGCCTCATGAAGATCAGCTGTAACTAAACTTGACTCAGGAAGATCAGCTGTGACTTGACTTGCCTCATGATGATCAACTGTGACTTGACTTGCATCATGAAGATCAGCTGTGACTAGACTTGACTCCATGTGACTTGACTTGCCTCATGAAGATCAGCTGTAACTAAACTTGACTCAGGAAGATCAGTTGTGACTTGACTCATGACGATCAACTGTCACTTGACTTGCATCATGAAGATCAGCTGTGACTAGACTTGACTCCGGAAGATCAGCTGAGACGTGACGATGCTCTGGAAGACCAGCTGAGACGTAACGATGCTCTGGAAAACCAGCTGAGACGTGATGAGGCTCTGGACGATCAGCTGTGACTTGACTTGACTCTGGGTAGGCAGCCATTTCGTGGAGAGTCTCTGCGTTGGCAGCCATCTTGTAGAGAGACTCTGGAATGGTGGACATTACGGGACGAGACTCAGGAGAAGCAAACATGACAGTAGAAGGCTGTGGTGTGGTGGCCATCTTGAGAACAGGTTCTGGGTTGGCAGCCATTTTGTGAATGATCTCGGAGCTGGTGGCCATTTTGGGAAGAGACTTTGCTTCTCCCATGGTGAAGGGAGAACCGCATAGCAAAAGAGCATAATCCATAAAGTTTCTCAAAGTACATTTGAATTCTCCTCCAGGAAACCATGACTTCAAAGACTCGTTGAGTCCAAAACGAAAAATGTCTTTTAAAGCAATTTCATCAAATGGTGCTAGATAGGATAACTCACAGAACTGGTGAACATACTCTTCAATAGATAAGCCTCCTTGCTGAAGACGTAGTAGCTGGTCAACTGGGTCCATGGTTGCCCTGGAATGCTCAGAAAGCCGCTGGATGATGTGGCTGGTGATTCTGTAACGAGGGAGGCGTGACGACAAAGTGGGGATCCAAATGCAAGGCTTTAATAAGAGCGTAGTCAAACAGGCGTGGTCAACAACAGCAAACAACAATGGCAGTGGCAATGCAAAAGAGTAATCCAGATAATCAGGCAATGGTCAGGGCAGGCAGCAAAACAATCATAAACAAGAAAACAGTCCAGAGATCAAAACACGAAGGCAAGGAAACAGAGAAACACGGAAACTTAGAAACCACGGCAGAGCTATACAACATTCAGTCACCAGCGATGACGGAGAGTGTGTGTGCTATTCTTATAGTCCTACTAATGTGAGACAGCTGTGAACTGATGATGAGATCTGATGAGAGACAGGTGATGCACTTGATGAGTCCGGGCAAAGGATTATGGGAAATGGAGTCCTGAGTGAATGGCAAGGTACAGAATGGAGTGCCCTCTAGAGGAGCTCATGGGCACTCCAGCTGGAGATCATGACAATAACATGATTTTATTATTGTAATTTTGACTTTATTCTTAAAATAGTATGACGGTAATCTTATTTATTTAGGTAGCTATTTTTCAGCATGACACTAAAATGCAGCTGCTATTTGTACTGCATGCAAACACAATCTTGGCACAGCGGCCCAAAAAAATAAAAAATTAAATTAAAAAAAAGTTACATTACATACTGAAAGAGTTTTTAATTTTTTATTTGAATTAAAATGTCTGGCACTGGCCGCTTGGTATTAAAAAAAAAACTTAAATTTAACAAACATAAAATGTTCCACTCATGTTTCTAAATTAACTTAATAAAGAAACGAAACGAAATATAACCTATAAATTTGCTATTAAAAACCAAAACTGAACTATTTTAATGGCTGCAACAGCAGCTGTGTGATGGGGAAGAGAGAGAGAGAAAAAAGACACAGGCTCGGGTCGGACTGGGGCGGAGAATTCTGATAAGTTGTCGGACAAGGGCCGGGCCCGTGCAGGGCTCTATATTCGTTCCCTTGTTTCAATTAAAAGTTCCCCCTCGGCTCGGGGGGCCCCCAATCTGCCCGGGCCCATATGCACCTGCATATCCTGCATACCCAGACGCTACGCCAGTTTTTACATTAATTTAAAAATGTACTAAATAAATATAAGCTATAGCCTAATGTTTTTATGTAAAATTATTTTGTTTTTCAAATATTATTTTCAGACATGAGCAGTACTCACATAGCCTAATTAACGTTACGCATTTAAAGTAACGACCAAGTGGCCAGCAGCAGACAGTGAGCATATTGTAGCGTTCTCAGACAAGGACGAGGCGTTTTGATGTACAAGGGGTGTTTATTTGGGCTGTTGTCGGCCACAACCCCCGCCGTACACACCCCGACTTCTAAGAGAACCGCATTTGAACCAGCGAGGCACTCATTCTCCCCCCTCCTTCTCTCTCTTTCCCCTTACACACACACAGGGGCGGAGCCTCTTTTCACATCCAACTCGAACATCCAATAACAGTTCGCAACACAAAAATGAATACAGTGCAACACTAACATTAAGCACATTGTTATCTATAACACAACATGCTTGAACATGCTACACTACCCCCCTCTTACTGAAGTCCTCGACCCCGAGGACAAAGTGTCTAAACCTGACTCGGGGTCTCCTCTTCCTCCTTACGCCCCCTGAGGAGCGTGTGAGCTTGGCTTTCCGGTAATGATTCCTCTGAGCCCTGCGAACGATCACCCTGAGGGGTGTTGGACAGCGATGTCACCTGCTGGCCGCTACTAGCCATATCAGCTGAGTCGATAACCCCCTCTAACCCCCTTGGAATCCCAGCATTTTGTGACAGAAGTACTGTGCTGCCCTGCAGTGTTGCAGCGCCCCGATAAGGAGCCAGCCTATCTCGATGCAGTACCACTTTGCGCCCCCGAGGAGGCAACTGTACATGATACACAACCTCCCCCAGCTTTTCCAATACTGGGCAAGGTCCCACCCAGTGGCTGTCCAGCTTCGGGCACCTCCCTTTTTTCCTTACTGGGTTGTAAACCCAAATTAGCTCCCCCACCCCAAAGTCACGCCCCCGGGCATGCAAGTCATAAGCCCTCTTTTGCCGCATACCTGCAGTCACCAGCTGCCTCCTGGCATATGCATGGGCAGAGTCCAAGCGGTCCTGGAGCTGTCTAGCATATTCAGTTCCAGCAGGAACAGGTGGAGCATCCGGGGGCCGACCAAAGGCCAACTCTGCAGGGGTCCTAATCTCCCTCCCCAACATGAGCAGGGCTGGTGTGCATGAGGTAGAGTCCTGAATAGCAGAGCGACATGCCATTAAGACCAGCGGCAGATGGGTGTCCCAATCGTGTTGATGAGTAGATGTTAAGATGGACAACTGCTCAGCTAGCGTCCTGTTGAATCGCTCCACAAGCCCGTCGCTTTGGGGGTGGAGTGGGGTGGTGCGGGTCTTGTTGATCCCCAAGTGCTCACACATGGAAGAGAACACCTTGGACTCGAAGTTTCTGCCTTGATCACTATGGATACTCTGAGGAACCCCAAACCTACTAAACATGCCCTCCACCAAGGCGTTGGCAACAGTCTCAGACTCCTGGTCAGGCAGTAAAAAGGCCTCAGGCCATTTCATAAAGTAATCCATAGCGGTCAAAATAAAGCAATTCCCCATCGTGATGTGAGGAAATGGCCCCATGATGTCCACCCCCACCCGCTGCATCGGCTCCCCCACCGGAAACTGCTGTAGCTGGGCCCTAGACTGACCCTGCGGCCCTTTGCGTGCTGTACAAAGATCACAGCGCCTGCAGAAGTCTTCCACATCACGCCTCAGCCGTCCCCAGTAGAAGGCCTGACGCAGATGTCGAAGTGTCTTTGTCACCCCAAAATGGCCTGATCCAGCCGAGCCATGCATGGCCTTTAACACTGCCTCTTGCATGTCCCAAGGCACCACGACCTGCCATCTCTTTTCTCCTGTTGCTGGCACCACCCATGCTCGCTGGAGAACCCCATCTACCAGCCGTAGACATTTGAACTTGGCCCACAATCCCTTGGTGAATGGGGAGAGGGCCACTACCTCCTCCCATGGTGGCCGCTGCTGTGCCTCTACCCACAGTATCACCGGCCGCAGGTCTGGGTCTCGCCTCTGATTCTCCATCCATTGAGTGACATCCACATCTTGTAGCTCCCGGCAGACCAGTTCGGGCCCACCACTTCCACCCACCTTCAGGCTAAGCTCCAGCTCTCTGGCTTCTCTGCACTCACAATACTTGCATTCCTGCATACTACATGGCCGTCTCCACAGAGCGTCGGCATTGCCATGCCGTTCCCCAGCACGATGTGTTACAGTGAACTCATAACTCTGCAGTTCCTCAAGCCAACGAGCCACCTGGCCTTCTGGTTCCTTGAACGTCATCAGCCACTGCAAGGAGGCATGGTCAGAGCGTATAGTGAAATGCCGACCGCACAGGTAGTACTTAAAATGCCTGATGGCAGAGATGGCAGCCAACAGCTCTCGCCGTGTGACACAATATCTCTTTTCAGCTTTGCTGAGCATCTTACTAAAATAGGCCACTACTCTCTCTCCATCTGGCCACGCCTGGGATAAGACTGCACCTATTCCATCCCCACTTGCGTCAGTGTCCAACACGAAGGGCAGTTGGGGGTCGGGAGGTGCCAGGATGGGTGCGCACACCAGGGTTTGTTTCAGAGTACTGAAAGCATTTTGACAGCTCTCTGTCCAGACAAAGTACTGATCCTTCTGCAGGAGCTTATATAAAGGAGCAGCGATACAGGAAAAACCCTGTACAAATTTCCTGTAATAGGATGCCAAACCCAGGAAGCTTTTTAACTCCCTTTGGCTCGCTGGAACAGGCCACTCCGGTACGGCACTCACTTTGTCCTCCGCAGTGCCGATCCCTTCACTGCCTATCCGATGCCCCAAGTAGGTCACCTCCCTGCCCAACAGTCTGCATTTACCAGGATGTAACTTCAGACCCGCCATTCTGATCTTCTCCATCACTGCCCTCAAGGATGTGATAGCTGACTGGAACGAGCTTCCATGTGCCAGTATATCATCCAAAAATACCAGACACTGCTGCCGTGGAATGCCTTCCAGTACCCTCTCCATTAAGCGCTCAAATGTGTCCGGTGCATTGCAAAGATCGAAAGAGAGGACTTTAAATTGCCACAGACCTCTACCTGTGCAGAAAGCTGTTTTGGGTCGAGCTTCTGGCGTCAGCGGCACCTGCCAGTACCCACACCTCAAGTCCAATGATGAAAACCAATGAGAGCCAGCCACAAGGTCCAAACATTCATCCACGTGGGGAAGAGGGTATGAGTCTTTCCGTGTCACTGCGTTGAGCCTCCGGTAATCAACGCAAAAGCGCCACTCCCCCCCTTCTTCGGGACCATGACTACAGGGGATGCCCAGGGGCTCTCAGAAGGTTCTATTATACCGGCACGCTGCATCTTCACCAACGCCTGCTCCGCAGCCTCCTGCCGTCCTATGGGCAATCGTCTCGGTCGCTGACGTATGGGTGCTGCCTCCCCTGTGTCGATATTGTGTTGTACCAGGGAAGTTTGACCCAGGTCCCCTTCCTCACAGGCAAAACAGTCCCGGAACTCCACTAACAGCTCCCACAACTGTTCTTGTTGTTGCGTGCCCAAATCGCTGGAGCTTCTCAGCATTATCTCTCGCAGCACTCCCATTGTTTCACCCTCTCTCCCAGAAGCAGACCCAGGCCATGTGTGTAGTAACTGGGGCTCCTGCAGGGACGCACTGGGTGGTGCTGTGCAGCACGAGTCATCCTCCGTAAAGATGCACTTCTCTCTAAAGGCGCGTCTAGTGAGGAGATGGCGAGTCAGGATCGACAACTTCATCCTTGCGACACCGACTCCGAAAACACTAGTTTATTAGTAAGTAATTCAAATATCTCCTTACTGTTTCCCCCGACGCATTTATGGTAATTACTTTTGCCGATGCTTTGCGGCAAGCTTTAGCCTATTGCGTGCATTTGAAATCAGAACTGTTCAGCTGCGCTGACGGCACGCACCATACATGCTGCTGCTGCTGGACACTAAACATGTCGAGCCGATCTTGAGTCACTGCAGCACGGTCTCGTGTTGTTTCCACCAGCGCGGCAATCTTTTTTCATCACTAATTAATGGATGTCTAAAATATAAAAATAAGGAGAAGCCTAAAACAGGCCCGAGGCCCTGCCCGCGTCTGAACTATGACGTGAAAATTGTCCCGAAGGCCAGCCCGAGGGCCGTAAAAAGGGCTGAAATGCAGGGCTCTAGCTCTGATCTAGCACACAGAAAACGATTTGACTGAAAATTTATCAGAAGAGATGAAAGAAAGATAGTGGTTATCTACACAATTCAGAAAAAGAGGCGGCTATTCTGCATTAGGTATGTTTTTTTTTCTTTCTTTTTTTTACTCTTTGTACAGCAGTTATTGTTCATTCTAAACAATTTTTAATGTAGAAAATGTGTTACATAAATACATGAAATGTAGAACATATAAAAAAGTTTGTTACTCCTTTCGAGCCGAAGTTCACAAAATTGGGTGTTATTTATGGGGAGTAGAATTATTTATTTATTTCAATGAATGTAATCGATTAGATATCATAATATTTAGGCTATAATACTATAAATTAGGTTGGTTTGTATTGCTGACGTAATATGTAAATGATATGCGTGCGGCCCGCGAGACTTGGACCATAGTGCGGCCCGGTGGAGAAAAAGGTTGAGAACCACTGTCCTAAGGTATGGATTTCATATTTTTCAAACGTTCTCTGCTTAAATAACCTAACGATGGCTCTTTATCTTACTTTTGTATGAAATATGCAGCCAGTAATATTACTATAATAGAGTCTATATACTGTATATGTAGACCTACAGTGAAATATTACTATGTGCTTAAAAAATAATTTTTGCTGTAAAACCTTTTTGAAAAATGCTTTATTTATAACATGCACTAAGACAATATACAGCATATCTTCAATATTTTAATGACTGACTATTATTAAGTCTTTGTTGTATATTAAAGATACAGTCACAGTTCATCAAATCTGTAAAACTATTTTATACTTTTCTAATCATTTAATTGACTTACTGTCAGGGAGATTCAAATCTGGACTACTGCCCACTGCAAAACAACAAAACAATTACAACAACACACATACCATGACATGAAAAAGCTGTACAAGCAATTTAAATCTATAAACTGTTCTGTTTCTTTTAAATACTTTTGGGGTGTCCTTCCATGCTCTTGCTCCTACTAAGGCGTCCTTCCCCGGTCTTCCGAACAACCGCTGCAGAGAGAAAATTACAACAAAGCTAATTAAATCACTGATTACTGGTTTTGGCCCTAAATTTTAAAAGAGTTGGAAATATCAATGTGATCACACAGGAATTCAGTGTGTGGGTTTTGAATATACTATATATCTCAGTGGGCACCTTGATATCAACTTTACGTCAAATCTTATTCCAGATTTCCAAGAAGCTGTAATATCATAACAAAAAAATACATAAATAAAAAAGTCGTTGAATCAAAGCTATGAAATGACATTCACAGGATTAGTCTTACCTGTGGACTGTTTCATAAAACAAGTTTACCAAACAAGCCATGCTTATTTCAGTTAGTCTGACTTATTTTGAACCAAATCAATTGACAATAAGTGAGACTAACTGAAATAAACCTGGCTTATTTGGTAAACTTGTTTTATGAAACAGGCCCCTGGTGACCTCTAGAATCGGCCATGTCTGTAATTTGTAAAGTAAATATTCCACCACAAATGACGTACCATATTTTGCCGAACACCCAGGTCATGTGGTAATATTAGCCACGTGCGAATTGGCATCTCTGTGATTTGGCAGGTTCGTATGTAATTTTTCAAGGTTTTTGTTTCCTGTGCGCCTTTTTATCCATCCTTCGCAAAGAATGGAGGCTGCATTGGAGTGTTTTAATAGTATTTTGGGTGCTAGGTCATATCGATATCGCTATATACCATACAACTATACAATTTGCAGAAAGAGAAAGGTGAAAACCATCAGAAGAGCGAAAACGTCTCGAGGTTATGTATGTAACCATGGTTCACCGAAGGGAGCGAGATGCTGCATTGAAACGCTTTGGGAACGCCCTGGCGAGACCACATTCTGAAGCACGTGTGAAATCAGTCCAATAGAGAAGCGAGACGTCACGACCGGGGTGACGTAAGCAACCAGGAAGCATAAAGGCGCATCCGGCAAATGCACATGTTAGCTTCTGCGGAAGCGAGCGCCTGCAGGGATGCAGGGAGTATGGCAGAGAGACACAGAGTCTCGTTCCCTTCAGGGAACCATGGTTACATACGTAACCTCAAGACGTTCCTCTTCAGGAACTCGAGCTGCGTCGAAACGCTTTGGGAACGAGAAAACCCACTGCGCCATACGAGCAAGTCCCTGTCTGGTGTGTGTCTGGCGAGCACATCAAGATGAGAGAATTTGGGACCCTGGGGTAGATGTCAATTTCCCCCAGTCTGATGCCCCTGATCAGTTTGGTTATTAAATGAAGCTGTTATGTTGCTGAATATGGACAATGAAAGTTTAACTCACATCTGCCTTCCCTGTTGGCCATTGTGTCGTCCACTGATGTCGCTAGTGTCTTTGTTCAGTCGTGCAGTTCACACCCTCATCTGGGCTTCCTTGTGGGCTCTTTTTCACTGTTCATTGCCCTGTGGGCAAATGCATACATTCAAATACATTTCAGGTTTGAGAAAAGAAAGAAAAAAAAATTGAGAAGACAAGAAAGAACAGAAATACCTGTCATTTTAATACTTGTATATTGTAACTGTCACTTTGTCTAATTGACCGTTCGCAAAGAGCTTGATTGACAGGCGATCTGACCAATCAGAACGCGGATATTATGGGCCGCCGCTGCGATCCGCCATCTTGCCCGACAGCTACGGCCGGTCTCCATAGAAATCCATGTTAAAACAGGGTAAACATTTTTTTTAAATATAACTAAGTATTAATATGTGCGGAGGGTTAAGCTGTGCTGTTGTTGGCTGCCACGGTAATTGCAATAAGCTAATGTATTCCTTTAAAATACTTGTTTCACATACCAAAAAATCTGTCATGTCCGGCACTGTATGCATGGCTTGTAAATACAGTTAAATACTGAGTGTTAAATAATAAAATAATATGTTAAAACGTGTGCTCTTATCATTCTGTGGACAAAATCTTGTGAACTTCGCCCCGAATGGGAGCTGTAATAAGTCTGCTCTTCTGTTTTCAATGCAGCTAACCTCGCGTCGCTTCATGTCATCTTCCCACTCATTAAACTATGACAGGTCCCTTACTGCAAAAAGACGGTCACTACGACACTCTTAAGTGATGAAACTATGGCGGAATGTGCTTTTTTAAAGGGGTCCTATTATGCTTTTTCACTTTTTAAATTTTAGTCAGTGTGTAGTGTGTATGTTTGGGCATAAAAAAGATCTAGAAAGTTACAAATCTCAAAGTCCACTACAAAGGGAGATATTTCGTTTTTTAAAAATCCCTTTTCAAGAACTACAACAAACGGCTCGTTTGGACTACAGCGTTTGTTTTCCGGGCTTTGTGGTATCACAAAGCGGCTCATTAGAATATCATTACAAAGAATTCCCGCCTACAGAAATGTGAATGGTTGGGGGGTGGAGAGGGGCGAGGTTGTGGTTAGAAGCACTTGGTTGAGTGACCGCATCAGACGAGACGACGAAGAAGAAGTGCTGCTGCGCTGTAGCCTCAAATTTTTGGCATGTCTAGAA